CTTGAGGTTAGCAGCCCAATTCATAACCACTACGCTAGCAGAGCTCAGTTCTGACTCTTAGTGATGAAACACTGCCTGGTTCTGCACCATCCTCACAATTACTGCTGTGTTTGAGCCCATTTTTGCAGTCACTGTGTCAATCCATCTTGTTGAGGGTCTTCCTCTTTTTCAATGACCATCTACTTTACTAAGCACAATGTCCTTCCCTAAGAATTGGTCCCTTCTGATAATATGCTGAAAAATATGGGAAGCAAAGTTTCAACAATCTTGTTTTAAACAGAGTTCTGGCTATACTTCTTCCAACAAATTTATTTTTGTTGTTCTTCTGGCAGGCCATGATATCTTTAATATTCTTCACCAATTCAAAAGGAGCTGTGGTAGCACAGTGGTTACGAGTCGGGATGCCAACCTCAAAGTCAGCAGTTCAAAACTACCAGCGGCTCTACAGCTCCCATTAAAGATTTACAGCCTCAGAAACCATGTGCAGGGTCACTAAGAGTCAGAACCAACTCCACGGTACGTTTTTGAAGTCTTCCTTATTCACTGTCCAGTTTTCACATGCATATGAAGTGATTAAAAATACAATGGGCTTGAATCAGGTGTACCTCGTCCTCAAAGTGACATCTTGGCTTTTTGACACTTCAAAGGGGTCTTTTGAAGATTTGTCAAATGCAATTTAATTTTCAGCTTTTTAATTATTTCATTTCTTCACCTTGAGTGCTATTAAATTATCCAATAAAATCTTGAGAAAGTTACTTACACTTATGTCTCAGTTTTTTCATATTAAATGGGGATAATAATATAGGTTTGTTATGAAGATTTAATATGAATCATTTAAATATGCCTGACACATGGTACTTAATAAATCTTAGTTATGATCATGGTTACTTACTCCAACAGCAGGGCTATAAGGAACTGCCACTTTCTTTGTTATTGCCAGATAGCCTGAAGCTGAAGCTGTAAGTTTATAATTTCCAGGTACAAGCAATCTCCAGTAATCGCCATCCTTTGCTACAGGAAAAGAGAACATCAAATCACAAAGCACATAGGTGAAATGTATAATTACACCATCTAAGAAATATCTACTTTGAATTTTAAAAGTGCACTCACTATTCAATTTTAAAAGTACATTCACTATTCATTTGTTAACTGTCTCATTGTACAACATTTCCCTTTATGACATTAGTGAAAACTATGCCTGTCAGTAATGGATGCTGAGGATGCGAGGCAAAAGTAATGCTGACTGTGATGCTGAAGGTTATAACTTGCTGGGCCATGATTCCCGTGGTTTGGCAGTTAGGTAATTGTATATTCATCCTCCATTTTGAGATTTGATGTGGGCATTCTCTTGTTTTTGCATAATGCCTATTTTCACATACCAACCTGGTTTTTGGAATCTAACCATGTTGGCAAGTGAAGAGTGGGTGTCGATACATAATGGAATTTAATGAAATTCCTTTTAAGAGAGTGTGAAGCTCTCTCTACAGGGTCTCATTAGCTATTGTACAGGTAACAATATTAACTTGTCAAATAAATCTTTTGAGACAGTGAATCTTCTAATCATGCCTGGAGTAATGCAAGTGAAAAGATAGCTAAGGTATCCAAGTAATGAGATCACAGCATTTCGACAACATGTTTTGATTCTTGCCAAGCCAAGACCTGATGACCTCAGGGTCTAGACTACTCCTTCAGAGTCTGGCCCAAAAACAGCTTCATCAGAATCCTTGAGGCACTTGCTAGAAATTTCTAACTCTAAAGATTCAGAATATATTAGACTGGAATAGTATTTTCAACAAATTCTCTAGAGAATTCTTCAGCAATTCTTTCACCCTCCCGTATCCACAGTTCCCTCCTAATATAGATAAGATTCCATGACCCACCATTATAATCACTCTCATATATATGCCTTTAATGTATTTGCTCCTCTCATCTTATTGAATGTGCCTGACAATTAATGAATCCTCAACAATATCCAGTTCTCTTTCTACTCTATGGCTGTCCATCCCCTGTGACTTCAAGGAGTTGGAGAAGGCACACACAAGAGCTGTCTGTAATTCATAAGCCAGGCTGCTACCTTGCTTTCCTATACATTTCCCTAGTCCTTTCCCTCTTTTTTCTTGTTATCTGTGCTTCTGAAACTTAGGTGTATAACAACTCCCCACAGACTTAAGTAAAATGTAAGTTCTGATTCAAGAGCTTGGGAGTGAGGCTTGAGATTCTGTATTTCTAACCAGCTCCAAGGCGATGCTCCTATTAGGGGACCACATAGTGAGTAATATTTCCTAATGGAAAATTTGCCCTTTCTCCTTTTTTCTAATACCCTAAACACATCCTCTTCATCCTCCCTTTCAATTGGTAGTTTCTAACTGTGAAAAAATTTGGGGGGGGAGGGGGGACCCCATCAACATATCTTCCACTCTACATCTAGATTCCACATCAAAGTAATTTTACACATAAGAGTAAGTACTTTATCCATCCTGAACCACTATAAGCTTGATATTATTCATGTTCTAAATCTTTAAAAGATGTAACTTTTAACTTTCCTATCATTGGAACATAAGTCAATCACTGCTAGTGCTTCATTTATTTACTTAATAGCAAAATTTCTGGAAAAACTTGTAAATAGTCAGTCTCTAACATCTCTCCTCCTTATTTTAATATTCTATATCTCTAATATCTCTCCTATTTTCTCTTAGTGTCACTCAAACCAGAGTCCCACTACTTCACTAAAACAGATTTTGTTAAGACCTTCCACACTTCTAAATCCATTAGTTTGTTCATAAACTTCATCTTACTTGATACTTTTTATCAAGTGGTTTTTGTTTTGTTTGTTTGTTGGAGGGAACATACGCTCTCATTTGGCTTAGACTTCATTACTGTCGTTGCTGTTGTTAAGTGCCATTGATAGCAACCCTATATAGGGTTTCCAAGAAGCAGCTGGTGAGCTTGAACCGCCATCCATGCAGTTCAAACTGACTTAGCAGTGCAGCGCATTAAACCACAGCAACACACCAGGACACCCTTATTACCTTGCCCTCAAATAGTTAAAATGTCCCAAAGCCCATTCCTCAGATTTCTTTTTTCTTTCTATCTATATTTAGATTTCCAAATTTTTTTCATATTATAGGAAGCAGAGAAAATATGTGTATAGCATACTAGCGTTAACAGAAGAGACATCTTGGTGGCCAAAGGGGACCAAAGTCTGGGTTCCACCTTCAGGACCCCCCTCCCTGAGGGCTCAGGAGAGCAGTAAGTTGGCAAAGAGTTGCCATATTGGTTGTGAAGGCCTGCTAAATTGGTGATAATACTTGCTGTTGAATGAAAAAATGGAGTTTGAGAGGACAGACATTAAGGTTTAAAAAAAATCAAGCTGTAGATGTAGAGATTAAAAAAGGAGTGTTTTATTAAATAAATTAAAGGTTAATTGATTATAAGATCCAAAAATAGGTAAAAAGTTAATAGCTAAAAACATATTGTTTTTGTTGAAAAGATCTTAAGTGGTATTTAAATGAAAGTGAATTGTTATTGTTGTTAAGAGCCATGAAGTCAGTTCTGACTCATAGTGATCCTATATAGAGTTTTCAAGGAGTCGCTCGTGGGTCTGAACCACCAAACTTGGTGTTAAAAGTCCAGTGCTTATCCTACAGTGCCATACCAGGACTCCAAAAAATGAACTAGATATATATTTATTAATGTTATTGTTGTTGTTAAGTGCCGTCGAGTCGGTTCCGACCCATAGGGACCTTGTATAAGGTTTCCGAGGAGCAGCTGGTGAGCTTGAACTACCAACCTTGCAGTTCAAAAGGCTTTACAGCGCCGCCACACCAGAACGCCATATATTTATTAATAGGAGTAGATTAATTTTCCTGGAAAATGCATCATTATCCTCAAGCTGGAAAAATGGAAATTGAATTTTAAACCTTGAAATAGCTAATATCACATCTCAATTCTGTCCTATGCTGTGCATTATTGAACAAGGCAATTAATCTCTCTGGTCCTCAGTATTATTGTGAATAATAATAATAAAAGAATTAAACAGATAAAGAAAAGTATGATAAATAAATTCTAGATGCACATGTTCCTTCTTATTCCTTTCAGACCCCGCCTGCAGCCCACCAATTCACAGCTCGTTAGCACTTCTCCTAGAGCAGGACTATACATTGATATTTTAACTTTAACTGTTGTTAGTGTCTTTGAGTAAGCTCAACTCATAGAGACCTGACTGATATAAGGTTTCCAAGGAGCAGTTGATGAGTTTGAACAGGCTGACTGAACTTGCTGTTCAAACTAACCTTGCACTCAATTATTCGGTAGCACCACACAAGAACTCCTTAATTCTGCTAGATAATATTTTAACTCTAACTAGTACATTTTCCTTTGCCTGAGAACAAGAAGCAATTTCAGTGTTCTGTAGGGCGATCGCTGAAGAAACAGCGCCATCTGCTGTAACACAACAGCAATCCTGAGTTTAACTCCACCTGACTTGCTCCCATACATAAAACTTACATAGATCCAAACCAATGTGTAAGATCTGAGGCATTTAATGGCTTTGCTTAGAATATTTCAATAGTTATAATTATGATGATAATTATGTTCTGTGTGTAACATTAGAACTTTCAGACCATAGCCGAGAACACCCACCAGATGTAACATCATGGTCTATTCCTTCCACAGAGATGGTTGCGTTGGCGATTGGGTTACCTTGAAGGTCTCGGACAAATCCTTTAACTCCACGGTGTATCTGCAAAGGCCAAAACAATCAGAAAGTTCATATTAAAAATGACCCAAAACATGTTTCATACCAAGGGTCTCCTTATTTTCTAGCAAAATAATAGATCCCCACTGTTTATGAATCATAACAAGCTCAAAACATCCACGTGCATGTTTTGTTTTTTCTCAATAATAAATGAGAAATAATCCTATGAAAATGTATGTTTTGTTCTGAATCAAAGAATTTTAAGTGTCTTTTGAGCCATTAAAAACAAAATTAAGAAAAAGCTATCGTCATATTTAAAAGTTCTAGTCATCAACACATTTCATTACTTTTGCTCTCTTTTAAACGTGGTCATCTGTGTATACCTTATGTGACCACTATTAGTTAACAGGAATATTGCGTTACAGTCCTTAAAAATTGTTGATTCTGAATAAAAGAATATATCCTCTACTATTGCATTTAAGCCCATTGACAGTATTATTTTGACTGAAAATAAGTAGCATGAAAGATCAGCAAACTCACAACTAAAAACTGGATTCTAATTTAGAGAAAGAATTGGAATTGAGAATCATTCATTTGAATTAAGTTGTGATCATCAATGCAAACTAAGTAAAAAACAGTTTTCCTTAATTTTGCAACTGTAATGCAAGGAAAGTAACATGTGTTTGAACTAGCAGTCATATTTTAATCTGGTCTTTCTCAGATTAAACTGTTCCATACAGCTTCCAGGATATCAAATACTTAACAAAATATACCCTGACTTCCCAAATGCTCACGTCGCTTCTCATCCTAGAAAATGAATTTTCTTTTGCAATTGATGATAATCCAGGATTTCCCCAAGGAAGGTAGAATAAATATAATTTTTTTTTTTCTGAATGGTAAAAAACTCTTTATGTTGTTAATGATAATGACAATTATTTTTGCCAAGTAGCATAATAAGGAAAGAACAAATACATAATTGTTAGAAATGAATCCCGATGTCGCATAAAAGACACTCGGTGAGACTAAATTACCTTGGCAAAGTAAAACTTACTCTTGCAAGAGGGTGTGTGCGCATAGCCGTACATACACGAACAGGCCAGCGAGCACACCGAGTGATCAGTCCACTAGGGTTTTTAATCCTTGACGCGAGTCTCAAGGCTGTGTCTCACCCTATTGGCTAGGGTTTTGACCGCACAATCTATTCCCTTACTCGGTTGGCTAGTTCAAATTTTTAAGGGGCACATTCCTACTTTAGGAAAAGAAGAGAGGGGTCAGTCTTTGCTCCAGGAAGTAGTTTAAGGAAAAAGAAAGTTATCATAAATTCCTTACTCCAGGAAGTGGTTTAAAGAAAAAGAAAGTGACCATAAATTCTTTACTCACTTCAGGAAGTAACAAAAGAAAAAGAGAGAGATCATAAAGTCTTTACTTCAGGAAATAAAAAAGTTACCCGAATATAATAAACAGGATTATAATTTTTTTCCCACATTTTGAAAACATTTGTTGTTGTTGTTAGGTGCCATCGAGCTCGTACCGACCCATAGTAACCATATGCACAGCAGAACGAAACACTGCACAATCGTGGGCCAACCTCACTACTGTTGAAATGAAAACATTTAGGGTCTAGTATTTCTTTGCCTTTTCCCTACAACTTATCTTTGAATTAGCCAACCAAAATTGTAAGAAATTGGAATTTAACTACTCAAGACAGGAAATTTTTGGTTTCCAAATTAAATTCACATTTTGAAAGAGCAGTTGCAGGTCAGAATTATAGTGGAGAGGAGTAAGAGGGATATGCCAAGAGATGACACACAATAAAGAACTAGAGATAAAACAGAACTTTTTAAAATTCTTAACATGAGGACTGCACAAAGCAATTTTACACATGAGTTATTTACAGACAAGAGTAAGCACTTTATCCATTTTGAGCCACTATAATCTTGATATTATTCATGTTATAAATCTTAGCTGTAAGTTTTAGCTTTCCTGTCATTGGATCAAAAGCCAATCACTGCAAAACATATAATTTGCCTATATTAGGCACAAATATATGCAGTTAATATTCATGACTTTACTCTTTTGTACTTACTTCTCAGGTACAAGGCTTACCTAATAAAGCTTAGCAAATAATGTAAGTAAATGTCCATCTCTGATATGCCAATTATAGATCATAACTTCTCTCCTTGGAATGATTTTACTATAGTAATAAATCTCAATGGAAATATTATGTTAAACAATCCCATAAGTGTGCAGACTGGAAAACACTGCTGGTGTAACTTTTACAAACAAAATCATAGAAGCTCAAATTTCACTCATGACTGGAAAAGCTGTTTTACTATGATTGTCCTTCTTACAGTGACCTCTCCCCAGATTCCTGGACTGTTGTATAAAAATAGTGCTCAAATCCTCATGTACTTAAATGTCAGTGTAACACTGTGAGATAAAGTACTGTACTACAAGGTTGGCAGTTCAAACTCACCAGCTGCTCCTTGGAAACCCTATACAGGGTCACTGTGAGTCAGAACAGACTCCGTGGCATTTAACAACTATAACAACAGGGAGTCTGCTGAAATGGAGTCTCTCTGGTCCTGACCTGCAGGGAATGTGATTCAATGGTGGAGCAGGAAACTGCATTTTATCAAGAACTCTAGATAACTGTGATGCAGGTGCTCATGAAAAATTCTTTAAGAAGCACCACACTGTTCTCAAGCTATCCTGAATGGAGGCTCTTCTCCTTACCAAACTATTTACACTCAGTGCCTTTACAATTCTATCTTCTGCAAACATCTGTTTTTTTTAAACTCTGTAAGAGGTTTCCTCTCAACAAATTACAGAAGTAGATTTCCTAATCACCTATTTTCTATGAGTTGTAAAGGAGACATGTTTTTTCAGACCCAGGTGTTTATTACTAATCAGTGCTCTTATTCTACATCTTTGTCATGAAAACAATGATAACACTGAACTCCTGGCAGTCTTCATTGATCTTTCGTCCATTTTTCATTCTATAAGGCAACCTCTGTTGTTGTTGTTGTGAAGCGCCATCAAGCTGGTTCCGGCCCATAGCGACCCTGTATAGGGTTTCCAAGGAACGACTGGTGAGTTTGAACTGCAGACCTCGCAGTTCAAACAGCTTTGCAGTCTGATGCATTAAACCACATCACCACACCAGGACTTTAGAAACTCATAAATACCACTACAAACACTTCGACACAGATGCCAATTCCCATCTGAAATGGCAGAAACCAGATCATGTTATGCGGTCCCTTTTCTTTTAGCTTATCTCTATATAATTGGTCTATGAACATAAGTAAAAAAGTATTGCTACAAAATTTTAGCAACATTTCATAAACAGAAATATCAAAATGTGAAGCTACTGTTTCTTACTATATCCCTCACCTAGGTCTATACACTTCTGAAGGTACATGTCTCTAGCCCTTCTCTGAAGAATTCTACATTTTTCAATTTATACCATGTCAAAACGGTAGCTTTGGCATCCTCAAGAGACTCAAATTATGTCCCTTTTAAATATTTCTTGAGTTTGGGGAACAAAAAAATGTCTGAAGGGGCAATATCTGGGGTCGGAGTAGATGAGGTAAGGTTTCCCAATGAAATTCTCATAGAACAGCCCTTGCTGGCCCTGTGATGACCAAAAGTGGTTAGGTGCCAAAAAAGTACTAGGATTGCCTTTGCTTCAAAGTGAATGAAAATAAGATTCCACCTCATTCTTCAAAACTCTCCAACTCAATTAGTTCATAGTGAATATTCATGACCACAACACCTATGAAAAAAGGAAAACCTGATTGAACCATTATTACCATCTGTTTTCCAAATGTGATACTTCACTCTAGGTAAAATGGACCCATCTGGACTGGTCTCCTTACTTTCATACATCACCTTTAAATAACAATCAAACTCCTGTTTCCTGCTGGAGACTGTGTTTACCTGTTCAAGGTAGCTAATGAGGGCGTTTTTGTTATCCTCCCAGTAGCGCTTCAGAGTCTCTTCAGGTGGGAACTTTTCACAGCTAAGTTCCACAGTGATCTCAAAACAGTTGCTGCTGAGGTAATTAAAGTCTTGCATTCCTGCCAAAGCACCAAATGGAAAATCAAAATGTGCATGTGATGACTAAAACTCTACATGGGCCACTCTACAGAACTGAACACCAAATAAAAGAGCAAAAACCAACCAAACGCATTTTGGGGAGCCTGTGGAGACACGGTGAGCAAGGCATTGGAGTCTGGTCAAACCTAAAAATTGCTTCATGAGAAAAAGATGAGGCAGTCTATTGCTGTAAAGATTTATCTTGGAAACCCTATTTAGGGTTGTTTTGAGTTGTAATCCACTTGAAGGCAGTCCCTGGGTGGTACACTCAGCAGGTAATCAAAAGATTAGGATTTTGAATCTACCCAGAGACAAAAAAAAGAAAGGTATGGTGATTTACTTCTAAAAAACCATCCATTGTAAACCCTAGGAATCACAGTTCTGCTCTGAAAACCAGGAACTCACAAGTCAACTCAAGGGCAACTGTTTTGGGTTGGTAGGAAACTACAAGGAAACTCACCAACTGTAGGTGTCTAACAATATACTTGGAAGATTGTTATTATCATAAAAACACAAACTCTCTAAGGTTCTTATGTGACCCTTGAACTTAGTGTCTTGCTGCTGTAGGATGATAAAACTGACATCAGTCAAGTTACACATTGCTGGAATGAGATTCAAAGAAGACAATGAGGTACAGGACTGTTGGGGCAGAAGTGTCCATAGACAGGGAGTGCCTATCACTTATCTGGGACTCCTCTCTTTCCAGCTGGCTGCAACTTGGTGATTCCAACGGAAACTAGGGATTGTTAAATCACTGCTATGGGGCACAGCTGTCCTGACTATAAACCATTCAGTATCCCCTTGTTTTATTCAAATGATTGACTCTTGGTCTATGTTAGAGGTAGGACTTCAGGTCTGCAAGCCTGCAAAATCATTTGGTATGGCCCTGCCAAGGCAACCACGGTTACTGCCATCACATTTGTTGTTGTTGTTAAGTGCTGTC